AAGAGGGGACGGGAGGTAGACCTGAATCGGGCTCGTAGAAAACAGATATTATGTATGACTCCAAGTTCATTCCAGTCAGCAGTGCTGGGCTTGTTGTGTGCTCACTGATTGGCGGGGTGGAGAGAGCTCCATATGTTGGGGGAGGCACACTGTGTGGGGTAAGCAGGGTGGGCAAAGGCATGGAGGTGGGCAAGCATCAGCATGGAGGGTCCTGGCCCCTCCCGCTCCCTGCCAGTTGCAGTTTCTGTTTCTCAAGGTTCTGTGTAGAGGTAACTGGTTTAGAGACTGTTGGTAGAGCCTCTCCTGTTTGGTGAAACTTCGATGTTTAAAGAAAATAAGTCAGGTTTCAGAATTAAATTTGGTGCCTTTATTTCTTTGGTGGCTTGAGGTCTCATGAGGGACTTTTATTCATATATAGATAGATTGGTATCTGATTAAGAGGAATTGGTGGTTTCTTTCTTTCTTTTTCTTTTTTTTTATTAGCTACTAGCTTTTTAACAAAATATGTTTTTATTGATTTTCAGAGAGAGGAAGGGACAGGGAGAGAGAGATAGAAACATCAATGAGAGAGACATTGATAGGCTGCAGCTGCCTCCTACACACCCCCTATCAGGAATGGAGCCCACAACAGGGGCATGTGCCCTGACTGGGAATAAAACCAGTGACCTCCTGGTGCATGGGATGACGTTCAACCAAATGAGCCACATTGGCCGGGCTGGTGGTTTCTTAAAAGGAGGTTTGACTGGCCCTACCCACCCAGGATCCCCTGTCACGTGACTCTGCCTGGCAAATGCAGACATTGAGGTGCAGGGATCATTTACTCTCTTTGTTTAGCCTGGGATAGGACTTTAAGGGGCAGCCCAGCCCTGGGACACCTTGGTTCCAGTCCACTTCTGGAGGGTTCTTGCCTGCCTCTTTTCAGCCCATTCCTTCATCCTTACTGCTGTTGCTTCCGCCGTGCTCTCCTCCATCCTGCACAGACTTCATGCCTTCTCCATGACACCTCACCGGCCCCTCAGCTCCGTGCCCACTCCGGCCTCGCCCAGTTAGGAATCCGGCTTCCTTCTCACATGACTAACTCAACATGCTTTCCTCAAATGAGCAACTTTGTGTGTGTGTGTGTGTGAAGTAAATAATGACCCCCCCCCTTCCCATAATTGTTGTTTTGCGAGATGTTCTTTACATGACATTTGCTTAACGTGGAGGGGCATTTGTTGCGTAGGAGTCCTTTTTAACAGCAGGACCGGGGACCAGGACGACACTGGCTTTTAGGCAGAGGGTCTGCCTTGCTCTTCAGGCTGATGTTGAGTTGGCTTTATGGCAGCACCTCTGTGATAAAGCATCACATTAAAGCAAGTTGTATTTCTTGTAGTCAGTTTCATCCAGTAGTGCACTGAGGATTCTGAAAAGAGAAACCAAATTCTATAAAAAGGAGAGAGAAGAGGACAAGAGAGGGGGATAAAAGAGCCCTCAACAATTCAGTTATACAAATGGGCCTTGTATTATTGTGGCAAAATTACTTATAAATGAAAGCCAAAGAGGAAAAACAAGCAGTGTTGGTAGGTGTACTCTCTGTTCCTTGTCTTGTTTTTCTGCTCTAAAGCATAGCACTGTGTTGACGTAGGCATGTAACTGCTATGAATATTGATGGCAGCAAAAGCTTCCTCCCCCTGTCTGGCCTAGTAAATAAAGCAGAAGGGATAAAAGGGGGAGTGAAATTATAAAATCAGCATGCTGTTTTCAGCTTATCCTGTGCCCTTAGAACTCAAAGTCTCCAAAACATATTGAAAATCCACATTTGGTGGCCAGGGTCTAATTTCAGTACAGTAGATTGCTATTTTCAGGGATTGTTGCTTCTGCTTAAAACAACAGAATAGCTCTTCCTTTTAGCTCTCAAAGTTAACGTCACTGCCTCACGGAAGCCCTCCTGGGTGTCTCCTCCCCACCCAATAGCAAAGTGGGCCCCTGTTCCTCAGAACATCCACAGTGGAGTGAATGCCCCTCCCATGGCAGCACCCGCTCAGGGACATGGCAGTGCACAGGAGAGGGGCCGGGTGTTCATGGAGGTTACAGGGAGTATGGAGAGTGACCAGAGGCCTTGGAGGTCTGCGTGTGGCAGGAAGGGGGAATGCATGCTGCTGCTCTGGGAGCATTTTGCAACCTGCTCACCTCAGCCTGGACTGGGGGAGGCGGTGATGTCATAGCCAAGGAAGTTCTCCACCGCCTGAAGGAAGGATTGGGGTGCATGGGATGAGCGAACCCCAGGACAGGGCCTGATTTTTTTTTGGAAGGTCTGGAGGAAGCATGGGTCTGGAGGCTGTGGAGGAGCTAGGCTTTAAAAAATGTATAATTGGCATACAACGTTATATTAGTTTCAGATGTACATCATAGTGATTTGGCATTTATATACCTTACACTGTGATCACCCTTGTAAGTCTAGTACCCATCTGACACCATGCAAAGTTATTACGATATTATTGACTACATTCCCTGTGCTGTGTATTACAGCCCTGTAGCATATTTATGTTATAACTGGAAGCTCATACCTCTTACTACCCTTCACCTTTTCCACCCATCCCCCTATCTCCCTCCCCTCTGGCAACTCTCAGTTTGTTCTCTATTTTATTTATTTTTACTATTTAAATTTATTTATTTTACTTTTATTGGATTTATTGTGGTGACATTTGTTAATAAAATTATATCGGTTTCAGGGGTACAATTCTATAATACATTATCTGTATATTGTTCTGTGTGTTCACCACCCCAAGTCAAGTTTCCTTCCATCTTTATCCCCCCTTTACCTTTCTTCTCTGTTTCGATGAGTCTGTTTTTGTTGTTTTGTTTGTTCTTTTTAGATTCGACATGTAAGTGAAATCATAGGTATTTGTCTTTCTCTGTTTGATTTATTTCACTTAACATAATGCTCTCTAGGTCCATCCGTGTTGTTGCAAATGGCAAGATTTCGTTCTGTTTTATTGCTGAGTAATATTCCACCGTGTATGTATATACCACATCTTCTTTATCCATTCATCTATTGATGGATACCTAGGTTGCTTCTATATCTTGGCTATTGTAAATCATGCTGTGGTAAACATAGGGATGCGTATCAAACTGGACTTTTAAAATGGAAAACCCACGGACTCTGGCTAGCTCACTGCACAAAAGAATCTATTAGGCTGCCATGACGGTGTGCTGAGGATGAAAGGGCACTCTGAGGGCAGGTTAGGAATGGCAGGGACCGGGAAGGAAGAACCGATAAACTGGTTTTCTGGCAGAACCACTGGGGAGTCGGGAGTGGGGGTGAAGGCTGGGGTACTGTAGTGGTTGGATGGTTCCCCCGGCGCTAAAGAGGAAGGATGCCATGAGAAGACACGCAGAAGTTCAGCTGGGGACTGGAACTGGCCAGCAGCAGAGGGGTAGCACTGGTGGCAGATGGCTCGAGCCCAGGGTGGCTGAGGCAAAAGAGCAGTCATATACATGTAACAAAGCAGAGGCCTTGCAGGGGAGAAGTGGATGAGCCCTTTGGCCTTATCAGACGGCTAATGATGCAGACTTGCTCTTTGTCACTTACCTCTCTGGGGACTGTCTCTGTGTGCGCGTTAGAAACCGCCCCTCGCCTCTTCCCCCACCAGGCTAAGCCTTTAGAGGCTGGGGACCACAGCGGAGACTTTTTCCTACCTGGCTCTGGGTATGGGTCCACCAAGCAGAAGAGATGCTCACTAAGTGTTTCCTGGGCCACTGTCTCTGTGTGCACGTTAGAAACCGCCCCTTGCCCCTTCCCCCACCAGGCTAAGCCTTTAGAGGCTGGGGGCCACAGTGGAGACTTTTTCTTACCTGGCTCTGGGTATGGGTCCGCCAAGCAGAAGAGATGCTCACTAAGTGTTTCCTGGGCCAGGCCGACTTGACCTCGTGCACCAGGCATCTTAATATGTGAATTCCTGGCTTCCTTTTTTCCTGACGTTGGTGACTTTCTTCAGGTCCCCAGTGTAGAGTTCATATCAGTAGAGGACGTTATGGCCCATATGGAAGAGTTTCATTCCTGAGGATTTTTCATCTAGTTATTATTTAGGTAGCTTCTTACCAGGGAATGCCTCTTGTAAAATTAATCACACACATCTCGGTCGGCCCATATTTCTAGGAAAGCTGAGGTTGTATAAAGAAAACCTTTAAAAAAGAGGAAAAAGTCAACATTTTTATACTGATGGGTGTGTTTTCTATATCCGTGGAGATGCAGGAGTTGGATCTGGGCAGGTTCATGTAGCCCGAGGACGGAGTCTCGGAGGTCTGTGGCAACGGTGTGGGAATGACTGCTGAGCAGAGAAGGTTGAGCCTGGCCTGGGAACATGCGTGGTGACCACTCAGCACTCAGCAGGGTCATCCGAGAAAGGTGGCATGCCGATAAGCAGACTGTGGCCTTCCCATCCTGAATTCACCCCCATTACTGTGCGTGTGGATGAGGAAACGTAGGTCCAGAGGAGAGGTGGGGCTTTGCCAAGGTCACCGTGCTGCTCACTGACAAAGCTGACCCTGACTTAGAAGCCAGATATAAACCCACGATCAAGAGAGGGTCAAAGCAGACACATCTCCCACAGGACGTTCCCTTCAAAGCTGCCGTTGGGATCTTTGCTGCACCTGGTGCTTTTCTGGGCCCGGTTTGGCAGCCTCAGGAGGAAACATGCTGCGTTTTGCAAATGTGTGCAAATAACAAGCGTGCCTGTTATGTCCTAGCAGTCTCATTGCACATGCATCAGGGCAGGTGGCAAAATGCAATCATGCAGCCCCCGGTGAAAAGAAGGTTATGCTTAGCTGCTTATGAGGAATTCAGTGTGAGAAGGAACATGCCTCCCTGGCCCAGGTGCAGTGTAAATGGTTCCATTTCTCGTAATGAAAATGTGACTTGGAGAAAAATGCTTGGAAATTGATTCTAATATTTTAATCTGTATTTTTAAAATCTTTTCTCCTTCTTCTCCCCCCTCCCTTTTCTTTGTTTTTCTTCACAGGAAAAAGTAGAATATGCCTTCCTGATTATTTTTACAGTCGAGACATTTTTGAAGATTATAGCTTATGGATTATTGCTACATCCTAATGCTTATGTTAGGAATGGATGGAATTTACTGGATTTTGTTATAGTAATAGTAGGGTAAGTCCCTTTTATTTTGGGGGAGATGTTTGTTTGGAAAATGGGAGGCAGGAGGGACAGAAGAACTGCGTCTTTTGAGGAAATGTGGTTACTCCTCTGCCGGTGATTGCAGCCAGACCTGTCAGGAGTTCTTTGAAGACTGGTGATGCTGCTGGCAATCTCCAGGCAGAACTGATTTGAAATGCTCTCATGGTTTTGCCCTGAATGGTGTGGTTCAATGGTCATAGCGTCAGGCCATGCACCAAAGGATTGAGGGTTCTATTCCCAGTCAAGGGCACATACCTGGGTTGCGACTTTGACCCCCAGCCCCGGTCAGGGCACATTGCGGAAGGCAACCAATGGATGTGTCTCTGACATCGATGGTTCTCTCTCTCTCTTTCCCCTCCCTCCCACCCTTTCACTCTCTCTAGAAATCAATGGAAAAAATATCCTCAGGTGAGGACAAAAAAAAAAAAGAAAAGAAAAGAAATCTCTCATGTTTTTTACTCGTGCTTTCAGAAACGGCTATAGCAGGAAGTCTAAGCTCCTGATGTGAGAGGGTTCATCTTACAGGGCCTCTGGCTTCCACAAATAGGCCAGCCCTACTGGTGATTTGAGTCAAATGTGTAGAGCTCTTATATTTAGCACCCTGTTAAGTTTTTTTAAAAAAAACTCAGAATAGTAAAAAAGTAATAAATCTTATAGCAGTGAGGTACTCTGCTGTTTAACATCCCTTGAGCAAAGCTATTAATTCTTTCTGCTGACTTGTGGGGAAAAACTTTGGCATGCTACTATCCCATTTTAAATAACAAAACAAGTGTCTGAATAATATCAGATATCTGGCATGAAATGAAATAAGCCAGAAAATGCAGAGAGGCAGGCATTATCCCGAAATCCTGTCACAGGAAGAAGACACCAACAGTTTTATTTAAAGGAAAATGGTAAAATGAAAACCAGTGGCCTGTGTTATTCTGGTCCTGCCACACCTGGAAATGTGGCCAGCAAGAGAAAAACGAATCAGTGTCGGAGGAATGCTGGATCTTTGGACCAAATACCCACACGGAAAAAGAAACTAGATCCCATCGCTGAGTCTTCGTTACCCAGCTACAAAATGGGTTGCTCCTAAAATTACATTTGGTCTTAGAGAGAGAGAGACTGTTAAATGACCTCTCTGTTTTCATCGCTATGACTTGTTCAGTTACCTTTTATAGTTGAGCAAGATAATTTATCTTTTGGATTATTCTTTTATCATGAATCCTTTGGCTTTTTATGGAAGGCTAATCTAGTTGGATATTGGGAGAGTGGGAAAACTTTTGAGCCTCTGATTTCAAACCTTTGAAGTTAAAATGGGATCCGCAATGGTGGCCCAGTGGGATAATTAGACTTATGGGAAAAAAGTTAGCTTTTGCAAAACTCACCATAGTATATTGGCATCTAAGGTATGACAGCCAAGGTAGTGCAGCTAAAATGAATAGGTGATAGATATGTATCATACCTTCCTGTATCTGGTGAACTCTAACAGGAATGGCTAGCAGGAACCTTGCAGATCTCTTGATTCTGGAATAATCTTGCTGTGCCTCTCCTGGCCCTGGAGGATGGAGATTCTTAGCTCCATTTCTTTGTCCCTACCCTTCAGTCACCTTGGCTTTCTGCCTGGAGACATTTTTCAGGCTGTAGTACAGCACAGAGAGGGAACCAGGTACAGTGTGGTGGTCTCGTTAGGCTGAGACAGAAACAAGAGGTCAGGGAGGCTGAGGTGGCTGAAATTTGAGAGGCCTAGTGTGGAAGGGGAGGGAGCTATTCAGAGAAAGAGCTCTATAAATATGCCTTGGGGTCCTCTTGAGTTTTGACTGAATGTTCAGCTACAATTACGTGGGGTGAGATTCTGTGAGGCCAGGCAAAGAACACTGTTAGGGAACACCAACCAGCGTGGAAAGATGTCATTGAACACCTTGGAATGTCAGTAGAGACTCCAGAGGGATATTAGTATTGGGGATAAACTAGCTCCAGGCAGGGGTTGACAAACTATGGCCAACAGGCCAAATCCAGCCTGCCACTGATTTTTGTAAATAAGGTTTTATTATAACAGTGTCATATATTTGTTCACAGAGTTGAATTGAGTAGTTTAGATCCACAATGTTTACAATACAGGATGGGGAAAAAGTAGGTTTACAGTTGTGAATATGTGAAACACAGAGTTTATTCTTAGGTTATTATTAATTATTGTATTATTTTCCATATGAACAACTGTAAACCGACTTTTGCCCCACCCTGTACTTGCTATCTGGCCCTTTGCGCAATAAATTTGCCAGCCTCTGCTGTAGAGTAAGGACTACCTGAAACCCTTACTGATAATGTTTGGAAAGAAGCCTGAAAAGGAGAAAACTGATATGCAAGTAACCTAACTGCCCATTAAAGAAAACGCCACACTCTTTAAAAGAAGACAACAAAATCCAGACATTTTACAATGTCTAATATCTAGCCAAATATCACTAGGCATCTGAAGAACTGTGGCCCATAACCAGGAGGAAATTCCATCAATAGAAACAGACCTGGAAATGACAGAGATGATGGAATTCGTAGAGAATTATTTTACAGAACTTTAAAAATAGCTATTATAAATATGCTTATGGATTTAAAGGAATGAATGACTACAGTGATGGAAGATGGGACATTATAAAAAAAATGGGATTTTGAGAGCTGACAAATATCTGAAATGAAAGTTCTCTGGATTGGCTTAATAGCAGGTTAGACACAATAGAAGAAAAAAATATCAAGGATCACGAAGACATTGCAGTAACACAAAGAGTAATGATGGATACAAATATGAATACACCTGGTGACTCATGGGGCAATATCAAGTGCTTTAGCATACATATATTTGGCATCCCAGAAGAGAGGAGATAGAGGGGAGACAGCAAAAAATATTTTAAGGAATGGCTCCAACTTTTCTAAATAAAAAATATAAACTATAAAAATCCAAGAAATTCAAGCAAAATAAGCATGAAGAAAGCTACATCAAGGCACTTTATAATCATAATTGAATTGCTCAAAACCAAAGAGGAAATCTTAAAAGCAGTCGGAGAAAAAAGATGTTACAGACTTTTTGTAAGCAACTATACAAGCCAGCAAGCACTATAGCGACATCTTTAAAGTGCTAGGGAACCTAATTTTTTTATTCAGTGAAGAGATCTCCAAATTGAAATTAAAAAAAAACAACCCCAAAACTTTTTCAGACAAACCAAAGCTGAGAATTCATCACCAGTAGATCTGCATCTCAACAAATGTTAAAGGAGTATCTTCACACTGAAGGAAAATGACACCAGAAAGAAATGTGGATCTACAAAAAGGAATAAAGAATGTCAGAAAGGGTAATTATCTAGATAAATATTAAAACACATTTCTCATTTTAAAATCTCTTTTAAATTAATTTATTATTCAAAGCATAAAGAATAACAATGTATTATGGGGCTTATAGCTTCTATAAAAGTAAAATACATAATAGTACAAAGGGCAGGAACAAGGAAAAAGAGCCATATACTACTGCAAAGTGCTTGTATGGTAGGTGAAGTGACAAAATATTATTTGAAGGTAGACTGTGATAAGTTAAAGATGTATATTGTAAACCCTGGAGTGTGGGCCAGCAAACTTCAGCCCATAGACCAAATCTGGTTTACTGCCATTCCCTCCTCCCCCCACATTGACAAGTGTCTTGCTGTTTGCTTTAATAGATAAAATTTTATTGGAAGACAGTCACATTCATTCATGTCTATGGCTATTTGGTGTAAGGATGGCAAAGTTGAGTAGTTGTGACGGAGACTCTATGGCCTGCAAATCCTACAAGGGATACTCTCTGGCGCTTTAGAGAAGTTTTTTGCTGACATTTGTCCTAAAGGAGCCACTAGAAAAATAATGAGCTATAACTAACAGGCGTGTATTGGAGGAGATTAAATGTTTTTTGTTTGTTTGTTTTTAAAAAAGCTCAACCCAAAAAAGACAGAGAAAGAAAAAACTAACAATGGACAGAGCAACAGAAAAGAAATAACAAGATGGTAGATTTAAACCCAGATTTATAAACTCTTATTAGAACCCAGAGTTTATCAGGTTTTATATGTTGAAAAGTCCCCACTCTATAGTGTCTATAAAAACTACTTTAAATATAAAGACACAAACAATTTTAAAGTAAAAGGACAGAAAAATACATAAAATGCAAAAACTAAGAAAAGCCTGAGTGGCAATATTAATATCCAACAAAGTAGACTTAAAAACAGGGGATATTATCAAAAATAAAGAGAGAATTTCATAATAATAAAGGTTGTCATTTAATCCCAGAAGATGTAATAATCCTAAATATATATGTGCCTAATAACAGAGCTTCAAAATACACAAAGACAAAACTGATAGACCTGAAAGGAGGAATAGACAAATCTACAGTTGTGATTGTACATTTTAATACCCTTGAGGAGTGTTGATAGAACATGTAGACAGAAAATCACTATGGACACAGGGAAGTTTGGACAGTACCATCAATCAACTTGACTTGATTGACATTTTTAGAACATCCCACCAACAAGAGTAGAATACACATTCTTTTCATATGTACATGGAATATTAACCAAGAGAGACATATCTGGGGACATAAAACAGGTCTGAGTGTATTTAAAAGGATGAAAATCAAACAAAGTTATGTTTTCTGAATGATTTAGCAATGTTTCTGGGTAAAAGGTCAGTATGAAAAAAACCCTGAGAATTTCTATGTAATAGTCATGAACTATTGGAAAATGAAATTTTAAAGACTGCTATTTACTGTTGCATTAACAAACATGAAATATGTAGGGATAGTGCATTGAAATGACTAAACCTTTCTGAGAAACTAAAAAAGACCTAAATAAATGGAATGATGTACAGTGTCATAGATTAGAAAACTCCATATTGTTAGGATATCAGTTCTTCTTAAATTAAGCTGCAGAGTGAATCCTAATCTAAATCCCAGCAAGATTGTTATATAGATTGACAAATTTATTTGAAAATTTAAATGGAAATTAGAGAGGCTCTAGAGTAGCTAAAGACATATTTAAGAACAAAGCTAGAACCTGATTTTAAGGCTTATTATAAAACTACAGTAAGTAGTCAAGACTGTGATATTGACATAAGGAGTAGACATCAAGATCAATGGAACAGAATAGAGTCTTGAAATAGACTCATAAAATTGGTTTTATTTTTAAAATTTATTTTTATTGATTTCAGAGAGGAAGGGAGAGGGAGAGAGAGATAGAAACAACAATGATGAGAGAGAATCATTGGTCAGCTGCCTCCTGCATGCCCCACTCTGGAGATAGAGCCCGCAATCCAGGCATGTGCCCTGACCAGGAATCGAACCGTGACCTCCTGGTTCATAGGTTGACGCTCGACCACTGAGCACACCAGGCCAAAAGCAATTTTTTTCCCCCATAAAATTGGTTTTAGACAAAGGTTCCTTGATCATTCAATGGGTTGAGGAAACTGTTTTCAGCAAATGGTGCTGGAACAACTATTTCCCCCGTATATATATAAAAAAAGACTCCATTCTTACCTCATACTGCATATAGATGCTACCTTAACAGATCCTAGACCTAGATGTGAAAGTTAAAACTATAAAATGTTTAGGAGAACATCTTTATGACCTTAGGGTAGGCAGAGATTTCTTAGGACACAAAAAGCACTAGCCATAAAAGAAATCATGGAAAACTTGAACCTTATCAAAATTGAAAACTTTTCTTCAAAAGACAGTGTGAAGAAAATGAAAAAGTTATGCACCAATTGGGGAAAAAAATCTCAGTACATACTGATTAAAGATTTGTATTTAGAATATATAAAGAACTCTTACAACTCAATAGTAAGAAGACAACCCAGTACATTAATGGGCAAAAGATATGAACAGATCTTCACAAAAGAAGATATGTAAATGGTCACCAAGCATCTGAAAAGATGTTCATCATTAGTAATTAGAGAAATGCAAATTAAAGCCACAAGGACAGCATTTTCATACCCACTAGTATTACTGAATGTAAAAAGATGGACACTACCAAATGTTAACCAAGATATGGAGCAACTGAAACTCATACACTGCTTGTAGAAATGGAAAATGGCACAATCATTTTGGAAAAGTTTGCCAATTTCTTATAATATTAATCAGATACTTACCATATGACCATATTACCAGTATTATTAGTAGGCACTTAGTCAAGATAAGGGAAAATACATGTTCACAAAGAGACTTTATTTCATAATAGAGAAAAGGTGGTGGAAACAACCCAAATATCTCTCAACAGGTGAATGGGTAAGTCATTGTGGTATCACTCAACAATAAAAAGAAATGAACTGCTGATTAATGTAACAACTTGGATGACTCTCAAAAACATGGTGAGCAAGAGAAGATAAACAAAAAAGAACAAGCTGTATGATTCTGTTTATATAAGATTCAAGAAAAGGGAAAAAGCCCCAACTGATAATCAGCCAACCGCTACCCAAGGCTGTGCTTAGAGGGAGGAAGACTACAACAGGCATGAGAGAACTTTTGGAGATACTGGATGTTTTGATTGTAGGGTCATTACTTAGGCTTATACTTTTGTCAAAACATGCCATTATATGCTTAAAATGGTTGTATTTTATTCTAAATTAGCAGCTATAACATTGTTTTTGAAAAAGTAAAAATTCAAGGAAGTGAAAGTATTAGAACTGGACTTGGTCTTTTTTTTTTTCGTTAGATATGAAAAACTTTAGAACATTACAATATTCTTCTAAAATATGCACTAAATTGTAGTTAAAGAGTGGAAGAAAAGTTAAAAAGGGTGAAAAATTAAATGTCTTCATTGGAATCAAATTCCTACTCCCTAAAGTTTCCAACTACAAACTGTATCTCAATCCAATGGATTTTCCATTCCAAGTCAGCCATGCCCTGCTTTTGTCAAGATTCCTAGTAACAGAGACATTGGGAAAGGAATTGATATGTCTAAAATGTGACCATAGGAGGACTCATTGGGTCTACCAGAGCTGATACTGTACCCTGCCTAGGAACGTTTGATCTGAGCCACAGTTATCGCATACCTCTGATTTTTTCAATGAGCAGAGCATTCAGGCTCTTCATTTAAGCTTTGTGAGGAAGGACATGCAGTGCTCATTCTAGTGCTTCTGACTTGAGTCAGGTTAGGTAGCTGCTTGCCTTTTTTCTTCTGTCTTAGGGTACATTATTTTTCATGTTTTTTTAAATTGATTTTTAGACAGAGAAGGATATGGGGCTTGGGGAAAGGGCGGGGGGAGATATCCAGATATGAGAGAAACAGCAATTGCTGCCTCCTGCATGCCACCTACTAGGGATCAAGCCCACAACCCAGGCAAGTCCCCTGACCAGGAGTAGAACTGGGGACCTTTTGGTGCATGGGATGGCACTCAACCAACTGAGCCACACAGGCCAGAGCTTGGGGTAAACTTTTAATAATCTAATATCAAATACTTTCTCCTCATGTCCTTATCTCTTTAGGCACATGTTACATTTTTTTTGGTTGGGGGTGGTGGTGAAGGGAGTAGAATCACAAAATATTAGGATGGGAAGGGTGTGGGGCTCTGGATCATTTAATCCCATTTTCTCATTTTACACAGAGGACACTGAAGCCCAGGGAAGGCGAGGGACTTGTTTTAATGCCTCCTAGCTCACCGGAAGGAAGCCAGCCCCAACCCCTGACCACTTCCACTCATGGCTGTCTGGAAACAGCAGCCAGCTTCCCTCTCAGACTCGGCTTCCTCTAGTGAGAGAGGGACATTATTCACCTGTTTTCAAGGACATTGCTGAAGAACAGGGGATAAGGGACCACAGAGTGTACATTGCAAAACGCTGGCACTTGAAAGCAATCTTAAGTCACTACCTGCATAAATTACTTGCCTACCCCTTTGGGATGAAAATTCCTGTGGCTGCCACATTTCAGAAAAGTTTGAGGTTTTCTTTCTTCCCCGTTCTTTCTTTGTTTTTGTGAAGCTATAAACTTATTTGGAGGGAGACTTTGAACTTTAGCCTTGCTGCAGGGGTTTACAGTCATTAAAAAACTCTGCTAATGAGAGAAACCTGTCATCTGAAGCTTTGAAAAGGTAGAGACTGACTCGGTTCCCCCTTCACCCGCCTGGGTTCATTGCTAATTGCTGCAGTGTTACTAAAACAAACGACTGGACTTTAAGTGCCCCGGAATGGCATGTCTGTGCCGGGTCAGGGCTGCACTTCAGACCACCCTGTGTTTTATGGACGCGGTGTCTTGGCCATCCAGAGGCGTGCCAGTGGGGGCCGAGTTTCTGCTTTGGCTGCTAATTAAACTTTAGAAACCTTTTCTTTGTTGCTGGGCCAATCATTCCCACAATCTGATTGGCCGGAGTTGATTCTATTTGAAATGGGCAAATTTATATTTATTCTGAAAAAAACAAGCAGCAATTCCAAAGAATAAATGTTTATTTGAAAGAGCAAAAGTAACTGTCAAACGAGCAGATCGCTTGGAAACAGCTTTATCCGAAAAACCTTCTGAGAGTAGGAAAAAATTTGTCGTGGCTGCCAGATACAATGTTATTCACATTTCAAAAGAGAAATGCTGGTCTTCATACCTCAGGTTGCTGCGTTTGGCCTTTGCACAGCTCCCTGGCCTCTGGCTTACATCATTCCGCACTCGTCCCTTTGAGGGTGGAGGTGGTATATTGGCAAGCTTATCGATGAAGATGTGGGACTTCGAAGTCAATATTCATACATTGAATTATTCATCAGATATTTTTGAGCACCTCTTACATATCAGGAACTGTTTGCTAGAAGAGACTCAATGAACAAATGAACAGCACAGGCTAAAATTCCTTGCCCTATGGAACCTACATCCTCATGGGGCCAACATACCTGGATCCATGCGTTCGTTCTGCCACTGGTTTTGTGAACTTGGGCACGTCCCTTGCTCCCAGGAAGTTTGATTCCTCAGCTGTAAAATGGTGTTAGTAATAATTGCTACTGCAGAACGGTCTGTGTGGATTAATGAGATCATGTACGGAGAGTAGGCAGCACCTGGTGAGTGCTCGGAAATGGCAGCCGTTAGATTATGGTTGTCGTTATTCCTATGGGGCAATTCCGTTTGTCATCGTTGGACCCCAGTGAGCCCCCTCTGCCATGCTGGTGGACTTGCCTGAGGATGTTCCCTTGGTAGGGAAACGGGAGATCATTCCCTGACCCAAATCATGTTAGACACAGGGGTCACCATCCGGGGTCACAGCCCGGATCTTGCCTTGGCCTTGCTTTCCCTTTATTTAAGCAGCAGCCACGCAGAATTAGCCCTTGTTCAGAAATAACTACTGCTATCATCCTGTTTTGCTTCCCTGGGTGACAGACTCTAACGTTTCTTCCTCTCTTCTTCTTTCAGGTTGTTTAGCGTAATTTTGGAACAATTAACCAAAGAAACAGAAGGCGGTAACCACTCCGGTGGCAAATCAGGAGGCTTTGACGTCAAAGCCCTCCGCGCCTTTCGGGTGTTACGGCCACTGCGACTAGTATCAGGAGTGCCCAGTAAGCACGCTTTGTTTCCTAAAGCCGGGTGTTGTTGATTTCTCCCTTCTGGGTGGGTCTCAGGAATGTGAGCCGAGTGCTGCAGGTGAGTTGCGGTGGCCTGGCCCAGTCGGCTTGTGTTGTCGCTGGATCCCGTGACAGCCCCGAGAGGGGCTGGCAGCCATGTGCCATCCCGACTTTGTAAAAGAGGAGACGGAGCAAGTGGTGGCATGAGGCCTGAGTACAGGCTTCCTGATTCGAGTCTGGTTTCCTTCTGCGACAGCACCCTGGCCGTCACCTCCTCCGAAAGTGGTGGCTTATCCAGGGCTCCACTCCCGGCCTCTCTTCAATGTGAGGAGTGACGGGGGCTGCACTTCCAAAAACTCGGCTCTCTGCTCTCAGGGACTGTGCCTGTCCCGCTCTGGGGAGAGGCGAATGCTTTCGTGCCCCCCCCCCCAACCCACCCCCCTGCAAGGAGGGCAGGCGAGAACCTGCTGGAAGGTGGTGTAAAGACTGGAGATAGTGCAGGGAGAGCCCAGCACGAGGTCTGGAGCACAAGGAGCCCCTCGGGGTGAGAGGTGTCATCGCTGTGCACTTGGCGACGCTGCCTGTGTGTGCCAGGCCCTCGTGTGCTGCCTGCTGCAGACCAGGCCAGGCTGAGTGCCACCCGAGTGGGAACAGATGTCCTGTCTGTGCCCTGGCCGGGAGCGCAGGCTGCTGCTTCCATAAGGGGTGTGGGGTGTGCCTCCCGGGGCTCTGTTCCTGATGGGACACCCCCTCCCCTGCTGGGGACCTCAGGGTAGGCGTCCTAGCACCTTTCCCAGGAATTGGGCGGGAGGATCGGGCCTGCAGGCCGTGCCTGTGTTCCACCCTCGGAAAGCCGTCAGAAGGACACAGACCATGGTCTGGCTCCTCCAGCAAGTCCCTGTGAGTTTTTATTAAACCTGTTGGCGCTCAGAACGCACCAGAAATTCTCTGGAAGAAAACACCCTTTCCAAATTTAACATTTTAAAATGTAGGAAGTGGTGTTTTATGTGTACTTGTTTTTCCAGATGGTTCATTTATTTTCATTGAAAAAGATCAGCACAAGTCAAAACCACAGAACTGTCTGGAAGCAATTGAGAAAAATAGGAATACCTTGGAAATGACTGGCTCTGTTAGGGTGGAACATGGTTACATGAGAAGTTCAGTGAGCAAACACGTTCTTTCAGATGTAGTTGTTACAGCTTAATCTAATTTCCAAGTAACCAGCCCCCCACCCCCACCCCCCCAGCAAATGGCAGGGAGCCTGCCTGGGTGTGTGCTGCGGCTTGCGTGCACGGCGGTGAGAACTCGGCACTTACTCGGCCAGGTCTGGCTCCCTTGCCTCATGAGCTTGTCACTAAATGACTAGTCCAGTGCCCCCACAGCCTCTCAGGAACCAGTGCCAAACTGTGTTTCTTCCTTTTCCCCCCAAAATACCACTTTGAAACTTGACCGAGGTCTGCATCACGTTCTCCTAGGGATGAGCAGGGAGAAAGGGACCTGAGTCTTGTGTGAGAAATTTTCAGCCGTATTTTAACCGCCCTGGAGGGAACACCCAAGCCTCTCATCAGACCCAGTGGGCTTTGGGGAGAGGGGTCGGGGGCTCTGGCTCATGCTGTTTCCCATGCTGGTTGGCCTCTGTGGCCCGGTGATTTCTTCTCAAGTACCTGAAATGGTTAAAGAGGCCTGGGAAAGTGTGGCTGTTGACACTTACCTGGGAAATGTCTAGTCATTTCTAAAGAGAATTGAGACTGTCCTATAAGACAGGATTCTGTGTGTGTGTGTGTGTGTGTGTGTGTGTGTGTGTGTGAGTGTATGTATTTATCGAGTGGAAGGTAAAAAAATGCATGTTTCAGAAGAGAGTAGAGACATCTGTGGAGCCCTTAGCCACCCACACACAGTTAACTGATGAGTGTTTATCGGAATCCCAGACCATCCCAGTGGGAAAGACCCCTAGAGAGCATCCGCCCAACAGCATCACCTTTACATGAGGAAGCTGAGGCCCGCCAAGGGGTAGTGACTTGTTGAGGTTCCTGTAGCCGGTGGGTGGCCAACAGGCCAGACCCACAGTCTCCCAGTTCCTGGTGTTCTTTCCACGTCACCCCTCTGCCTCCGTGATCAGAGCCCCCGTGAGCTCTGTACACATCGACAATATACAAAGGAGCTTAATGTCACATAAAAGTGTACAATTCGAATTGAGATACAGCTTCATTATCTCACAAATGTGGCCAATCTAAAGTACAGTAGAGCCTTAAATATAAACATATTCGTGAAACACATGGCTCACTGCCGTGGAATTGAGAAGAGCTAACTGCTGAGTGGTGATTTGGGATGGCCTATCCACATCTAAAAAATAAACAACAACAAAAAAACCCCTATCCGATTGGATTAAAGCAGGTGTTTTCTTTCCCCCGCTGTCTATTCTTTCTAGAAGATGAAAACATTAGCAATCATCTTAATGATCATTTTCCCCAAAAAGAAACCATTTGAGCACTTAAACATCCAAAGGCAGTACCTAGGATTTGGGTCATAATGAGGGTCTTGGAAAGATGGGCTCCTTGCGAGTCTGAAATCCTCTGATTAGCCTTCCCTCCCCAACCAGTCCCCCACCTCTTTCCCATCTTTCTTATTGCTCATAAGTATTCTTCTCTCTACTTGGTGTGTTCTGATTTCTAACTTATTTAATTCTAGCATCTCAGGTTATATTCCTTCATTCTTTGAGTATGTATTGGGAGAGTGAGAGGATATTAGAAAAGGGCTGTTTGAATGAGGTGAGACAGTGGGGAGGGAGAGTAGGGAGGGGAAGGGAAAGAGAATAAAGAGGAGAGTGAACTGTGCAGAGGAGAAGCTGTAGTCATGGGTGGTGGGAAGAAGGTAGGACTAAACGTGGAGGTCAGGTTCTAGGTGAGTTCTGGTCTCCTGGCCATCACTGTCCCTCAGTCTTCTGCCTCCTCCCACCCACCATCCCCCTTTACATTCTCCCTCTTTCTCTTCCTATACCATGGCTCTGAGTATTACTCCATGGACAGCCTCCAGGTTTTTGTGTCCCTTCCCCATCTCTCAAGCCCAGGGTGCAGCATGCTTTCCTCTTCATGCTGTGCTGTGATCGACTCACTGGTTCTGAGTTGCTCTCACCCTCTCCTTCCTCTGCTTGTCTCCTGCCTCCCTCATTCCAGGAGAGCCTCCTTTTGACATGCCTTTTTTTTTTTTTGGCTGGGCACTAGGATTTCCCCATGACCCTGCCTCCATAGGTACCTTCTTCTCCCTCAAATTCAGTTGCTGAGTTCTGGTCTCCACCGATCCTGCCTACTGCTGCCCCATTCGTCTTGCTAAAGAGGCTGCCTTTCACAAACAGTCTAAGGACGGTCCTGTAGCCCAGATTCCAAGCCCAGAGCTACCTAGCTGCAGGCTGCTTTTCCTTCCTGATATTCCTTTCCACTAGTTCTCACCAGCCAAGGCTCCCCATCCCGAGCCCATATAGCGCTGGCTCACCTCTGTGTGCTTGGTGCACTCTCCCCTCTGCCTGGCATAGCCTCTCCCCTGCCCACCTGTGGAAATCACCCTCCTCAGACCCAGGCCCTGCTGAAAGGAGGCTGCCACCCAGTCCTCTTTCTCCTCCCCACTCAGAAACGATGTGTAATTGTGACTGATGTTACTCATACAGCATTTGTGTGCTACCTTTCATTTGCATTTAATTCCTATGTCTCCTCCTAGAATACAAGCTCTTTGAGAGAAGGCACATTATGTAATGCATCCTCATATCTCCCAAAGAACTAACCTGATGCTTGCCACGTGGTAGATGTTCAAGGAACTTTGTTGAATGGATGAACAAATGCATGCATGAATGACTAACTTTGATACTGGACAGTCCCCTCTCTAGGCCTTCCCCATCTGTCAAGTGATCTTTAAGTTTTCATTTTAACTTATTTCACATCCAGATTAACGCTAATTGAAAGCTTTGAGATATCTCTTTGAGTCTTATTACTATGTGTGACATGCAAAGCCGGCGCCATTAAGAATTATATATTTGCATCACTGAAGTTTCTTCCTGGCTCACAAACTTATTTCTCTCTCTCCTAGGTTTACAAGTTGTCCTGAACTCCATTATAAAAGCCATGGTTCCCCTCCTTCACATAGCCCTTTTGGTATTATTTGTAATCATAATCTATGCTATTATAGGATTGGAACTTTTTATTGGAAAAATGCACAAAACATGTTTTTTTGCTGACTCAGGTGAGTAATGAAAATGGTCGCTCACCCAACTTTTTATTTCCTCCCAAACAACTTTTGTGGTTTTGAGAAAAATCTAAAGCAAAATGAGAGTGAGAAAAAAAAGAACAAGCCAAATGTACCAGTAAATTTACTGGGCCAGTTCCTAGTGTGAATTATGTTCAAAATAAATCTCCTTTTTGGTCCTGATTTCCTGTATAATGTGTCCTGGCAAGCAAGACGAGGGACCCCCCAAAATTAGAACATGAGGCGAATTAGTGGCATTGTATACAGACTTGAGAAAGGTGCTGCCAGGGAGCACGAGGAGAGAAAGGTGCTATGAGTGAGCACAGAGGGGAGAGCCCAGGGAAAGAAAAGGTGCTGTGAGTACAGGAAATGGCAAACTCCACGGAGGAGGCACTGTGTGGAGCCGACCTTGAAGGCCAAGTGGGATTCGGAGACAGCAGAGATGGGAGGAAGCAAGGGGGCTCGGCCTCCTCAGGCTTGGGCATCCTGATGTTCATTCTTGGGTGGTGAAGCCTTCTTGCTCTGCTTGCAGATATCGTAGCTGAAGAGGACCCAGCGCCATGTGCGTTCTCAGGGAATGGACGCCAGTGTATAGTTAACGGCACGGAGTGTAGGAGTGGCTGGGTTGGCCCCAACGGAGGCATCACCAACTTCGATAACTTTGCCTTTGCTATGCTCACCGTGTTCCAGTGCATCACCATGGAGGGCTGGACAGACGTGCTCTACTGGGTAAGCAGTGTGGGGAGGGAGCTGGTGGAGTGTTCTTTCTTTGGATGACAGTTGCGTTAGCTAGAGCCATTGGGGAATTGACTGAAAGAGAAACCCTGGAAGTCAGTGTTTTGGGGAAGGGAAGCAGACCCTCTCTTCACTCAGCAAGACTCATCATCTTTCCTCCTCAGGCATTTAGTGTCCATTCTAGAGAGCCGGAGGCCAGTGTTGGCTCCCTCCACGCCCCTGGGCTGCCTGGGGAGTGCTTGCTGAGTGTGCCTAGTGGCCCCTTCCTGGAGGAGCCCAGAAGGCCAGGCTGGCCCCAGTAAGCTCTTAGAGAGCCAGGAGTTATTTCCCAGGTGAAGAGGCTTCATGGGCTAAAATTGTTCTTTTATACACAAAGGAAGGTTGCTTTACTAGTCTCCTAAACGGAAGATAGGGAACATAAATTGCATACCTTTCATGCTTTCCATAACTTAGCACAGCCCTAAAGCCAAAATGGGTTTTTTCCCCTATTATATTTCCCTTGCCTCTTCAGTACCATATAAATCAGCCCAGCACAAGCCCTTAGTTCTCTCTTCCTTTCTCTTTGGAGCCAAAGAACTCTGGCAGAGAGGGTAGAAATGGAGTGGGGATCCATCCAGCTGGCCGTGAAAACAGGGGGACACCCCTTCGATGGCTGGAGTCTGGTTCTTCTTGATCCAGACAGTGCCAGGAGGCTTGGCCATAAATGAAGAGTGGTAGCATTTCAACAGCCATTTCCCAGAGCTGAGCCTGTTTGTTTATTTGTTTGGTAGAATTTGAACAAGCTCACAGAAGTTTAGAAATTATTTTCCATGCCACAGAGTTGCTGGGAAAAACAGCTGACATGTAGATTTTGAGGCTAAACCAAAATCCAAATGAGATTAACCGGGATTCCAATAATAACTTGTTAAAAGGCAATTCATAGTAATACAATGCCTCTTGAATGGGCAGTCTCTAGCGAGAAGGCCTGCAGATTGAGATGTAGCCTTTAAATTTTAGACGCTTTATAGGATTTCATATTACTCTGTAACTTCAGAGAACAGAGCATCTGATGGTTATAGTAGGTTTTTGCTTCCCTTCACCAGTGACCACATGCTTACAGGATTATAGAAGTCCCTCTGTCCTCAATGTTAGGCAGGGAGGGTATGTTTTTATTTTCAACCCCGAAGTCTGTGTCTAGTTTGGTAATAAGGCTTAAGCAGCACCAGCATGTTATTCCTTGTTTCTCCCCTTTTCTCTCCTTTTTCTTGTTGTTATAGGAGTGTGTGTATGTGTGTGTGTGTGTGTGTGTGTGTGTGTGTGTATGCACATCTATTGTTTATATGTCAATGCCTTTCATGGAGAGGACGAAGGAGGGAGATTATATTGGATGAACCAAGACCCTGGTCATGCAAGGGGACCCTCAAATTAAACAAAGGGTTCCTTTTCACTAGTATCGTTTAAAAATTCGCAACTCCTGGTTAGATTAGTTGAGGTCTCACTCCCAGATTTCCCTTGAAATTTCTGGTAAATCCAAAAACCATCACCCAAATAGCCCAAACTCTAATCCTTCCTCCAAGCAGTACAGAAAACAGCATTTTGATTAAAAATAATCTGTGATCCTCTCAACTTTGTTGTTCTCTCTAGTCATGGTAAATTGTTCACCACTGATCCAACATGCCTTGACTAATTGACAATTTTATGCTTTATGTTATATTTCTGCACATCCTCACATGACAGTTTCCTTTTGTCAAGCAAGTGAAACCTCTGGGAGTGTGAGATTAAAGGAGAGAAAACTCCATGTGCCCAGAAACGAGTTTCCACTTGCCTTCCTGAGAACCTTGCAGTATCACCCAAGATCATGTTATTGTAATCTCTATTGTTAATATGACAATCAGAGTTAATAATTTAACAATATAATAATTATAGTCTCTATGAACTACATGACATCTTTATTTCAATGGAGGAACACACATAATTTATTAATATTATCCCAGCCTATATCCCTTTATAGAAAGTCTGGGATTTTGAAGATGGACACAGTGGAATATAGAGAGATCACTGAACATCCCTAGGGTCCTACAGCAAGAGGTTGTAGTCCTTGATCTAGAATGTGGGTATATATTCTTTTTTTCTAAGGGGCCAGATAGTAAATGTATTTGGCCTTGCAGGCCATAATGTCTGTGTCACAACTACTCAATTCTGCCCTCTGCCCCGGGTTGCTCAGAAGTAGCCATTGGCAACATGTAAGACAGATGGTTTCTAATGAAACCATTTTTATGGAAACTGAAATTTGAATTTTGTATAACATTCACGTGTCATAAAATACTCTTTTGATTTTTTTAACCATTTAAAAATGTAAATGCCACTTTTAGCTCAAATGCTGTACAAAAGCAGGTGGCTGGGTGGGTTTGACCTGCAGCTCATAGTTTGTCGACCCCTGGTCTAGACTAGAATCCAGCACTCTCTCCTTGGTATTCCTCCACCCTTCTGTAACATTTGGGGCAGCAAAGTCACGTCTTCCACCATCTTCACCAAGATCTTAGTCTCTGAAACACATCAGGTTGTTTTTAATTACCTGTTGATTACATCATAGAGATAGGCAGGCAAGGCACCCAGCCTTCTTAATATGTTATGGGCCACAGTCAGCTGGAAGCCACATAGCTGTTCCAGAACAGAACATCCATGCCCAGCACAGCGAATACTAATTACTATTACTCTTCATTGCCTCAGTGTAGAGGGGCCATGTTTAAATATTAATTTTTATCCACAACTAGGGTATCAAGGAAACATCTTAAGAGATAACTAAGGAGATTTGATTTTAAATATTGATGGCAAGCAAATTTTCCGATCCTTTGGGTGTTTGTATATGGTGGACAAAGTCTTTGCCAGGGATTATGTGCATCTTGTCAGGTTTATATTCAGTCAGTGTTCCCAAGCTCATTGAGACCTCAGATCTCAAGAGAGTCTTGCCAATGGTCTTGAGAAGGAAAGTACAGGTATGCCTGATATTCAGAAAGACCCACTTAGAACAGAACCTTATGGATGTGTGGGGAGTGGGATTATTAACTCTGGTGGAAAAAGAAGTTATTAATGGAGCTTCTATAAATTGAGTTCCATAAACATAATTAAGCTGTCTTCTGACTCACACCCATTTGTTGGCCACAGAGGCAGAAGGGTATAGTGCAAGGAAAGAACATTAGAGCTGGGCGAGGGTTTGGTGTTTGACCTTGGACAGGTCACTGGGGCTCTTTGGGCTTTAAATTTTTTGTCTTTAAGATGCAGAACAAGACTACATGATTCTTTTTTATTTTTCTCCTTTAACTCAGAGGACATGTTTTTGAATGTAAGAAATTAATTTAAAAAGTATTGGTTTCAGGAGAGAGCTGTCCATATAAATTATATGTGGCCTTTTGCCTTATTGCCAAGCTCTTTTCAGTGAAGGCACCTATGGAGTCGCTGGCTGTCAGGCTCTAACGGGGTATTCTCATGGTCAACTATTGACTTCCTTCAGGGTACCTGGCAATTCCTCTCTAGTTGGCCAAGTGCTTGCCTTCCTGTACCTTTCTCTTATTCCATGCTCAGGGAATCTACCTACAGCCAGCATCCCGGGTATCCAGTGGTGTTTCCAGTAGTTTTAGGATGGCCTTTAATTGGAGACATGAATATGCATCTCAACCTTTGAAGTAAGGGAAAACTGACACCCAATAGAATATTATTCCCTGGGCACCAGGTGGCTCCACATGATAACTTTGATATAAATATTTCAAAAAGCAATCTAAATTGAAATGCTTCAGCTCATGCCCATTTCCCCATTGTGAATAAAGACCTTGCAGACAAAATCCCAACTAGTGCCTCTATGTTCATGTGGGTATTTTGGGGAACAGCTTGCCAGTTCTGATTTGTCCTGTGTATATAAGGTCTGAGAAACACTGGCCTCTGAGAAGAGATTGGGTTGAGAAGGTTTAGTTGGGAGAAAGACTGGCCTCGAAGCTTGAGCTCTGCTTCTCTTCCCTGATGTCTGGGGATTAGAGTCTCCTGTGGCCTTTGTTTAGCTTTAGCCTCGCCCCCGGCCTCCAGTGATCATTCCAGGTGATATTTCTGACTTGAGCAAATCTGGATCTGTCAAACACTCCTAAGAAATTATAAAGGTCTTTCCTTAAAAACGAAAGTTTCCTCCCACGTGGAGCAGACAACACAAGACTGAGGCCCAAATGAAGGGGTGAAGCAGAGGGCTCAGCCCACTGACTTGGCCAGAGCTGTTGAAATGCGAGGTCTCCTGGTGGGAGTCCTGGACTTGGACAGCTCTCTCCCATCCTGTGAGCATGCTCTCTCCTGTCGTACGCACTCCTGTTCCAATAGAGAGGAAGCAGCCCAGAGAGGTCCCTGTGGAAGGTCCTGCCTCCAGGCTGGGCTCTGGCCACTACACCAAGCAGCCTGTCTTCTTGTCCTCCACACATGGGTTTTTAAATAAGTTTGGTGGCGTAGCTGCTTTGGAAGAATTACCCTCTGCCTTCCTGCTGAAATTAGTTTATCCAGCTTAATTAGATCAACAATTGCAGCCATGGCCTCGGCTCATTCATTACTCTAATTGCCAATGTAAGATGTGCAGACTGATATGAGTTCTATTAAGCACATCAGTTTTCATGTGGCCAAACAGGTGTTTCATAAGGGATTTAATGCCCTTTCCCTAGACTTCAGTAACAGATGTTAGGTAATTTTTTTTAATGTTCTCTTTTCCTGTTTGGCTTCTGTGTGAGGCAAACAGTGAAATGCACGAGTCTCATTCTGTAAAGCTGAAACCTGGAGCCACATAGTGTGGAGGAAAGCACATGCTTAAAGTCCGAAGGGCTTGTACCTGCAAGGCAAGAGCCATGCGTTGGCCCAGACTAGGTATAGTTCTGTGGGCCAGAGGTGCTGGGTGTTCCAGCAAAGTCGGGCCTGGGGTCATTCCTGTCGTCCCCAACTGGCCCTCAGCATCTCCTTCCTGGGAGAAGCGTTTGCCCAATTTAACACTGACCTGTGCTGTTGGAAAGTTCCATCCGGCCGTGAACCTTAAAGCACCTGTTTGCTCCAGCATGAAAGCTGCTCATGACCAAACCCTCCTGGGGGTGTCTGTCGGGGAGGCCATGTCTGACTGTCCCACAGAAGCTTGTCCCACAGTGGGGCATGGGGTTCCTCTAGATCAGTGGTTCTCAACCTTCTGGCCCTTTAAATACAGTTCCTCATGTTGTGACCCAACCATAAAATTATTTTCGTTGCTACTTCATAACTGTAATGTTGTTACTGTTATGAATCGTAATGTAAATATCTGATATGCAGGATGGTCTTAGGCAGGGGTCCTCAAACTTTTTAAACAGGGGGCCAGTTCACTGTCCCTCAGACCGTTGGAGGGCCGGACTATAATTTAAAAAAAAACTATGAACAAATTCCTATGCACATTGCACATATCTTATTTTGAAGTAAAAAAGCAAAATGGGAACAAATACAATATTTGTATTTGCATGTGGCCCGCGGGCCGTAGTTTGAGGACCCGTGGTTAGGTGACCGACCCCTGTCTAAGGGTCGTTCGACTGCCAAAGGGGTCTTGACCCACAGGTTGAGAACCGCTGCTCTAGATGAAGCCAGGTTTCCAGGCGGGGTCATCCAGGGTAGGTATGGGGGATAGTGCTTCTCCTTCTCCTGGGTCCTTCCTGTGGTGCAGGCATGAAAATTTCATTTCCTGGAGCATGTCAGCTCGCTGACTTCTGAGCGCTCGCCTGCTTTGCATTAGTTTAGCTGTGCTTGACTCACTGATTGAGGGCCATTCAGATTTAGGGAGGTAGGTTTCCTTGGAGAGGTTGGCTCCCAATGGAAAGTTATTATTTTAGTGTGTGTGTGTGTTTTTTTTAAAGAATAGAATTTATAGAGTCAAATGTTGCCAGTTTGTCTCTATAACTAAGACTTTTCCACCATCCCAAATTTCAAAAGCAAAAAAAGTACTAACAACTGGGACAGAGGAGGAAATAATTTTCAGGGAAGCAGTAGTTTTGTCCTCTACCAAGATCCTTTCAGAAAAGCCCTAATGGTGGCAGCTTCCTGTGAGGAAAGCCAAATCCCAGCTGATTGCCCTACCGGTGGCCAAAGTTGGCTCTCATTTGCCCTGAAAGCTTTGATGCCTCTGTGTCTGTGTGTGTGTGTGTGTGTGTGTGTGTGTGTGTGTGTGTGTGTGTAATATATAATGAAAATGTATTGGCTACTGTTGTCTCTGATTTGAATCTAAGTAAATGTTTCATTAAATGTATAGAATGCTGTCTCTAATGTGACCCTCTCTCCTTACTAGATTCCCTTATTAACCCACCCCTATGAGACCATCTTGTTTCTTACAGATGAATGATGCTATGGGATTTGAATTGCCCTGGGTGTATTTTGTCAGTCTCGTCATCTTTGGGTCATTTTTCGTACTAAATCTTGTACTTGGTGTATTGAGCGGGTAAGCTACACCTCTTTCATCTTGAAAGCAGAGCCCTGAGGACAGTTGCCAAGACCACACAGGCTTTGCTAGATGGGGCCGCCGGGTGGGTGCCAAGCCTCACATGTCCTCCAAGACGCTTGTCCTCTGCTGAGGCTTCCCAAGTCACGACGGTTCCTGGAACCTCACCAGCCTTCATGAAAGGCAGCGATAGAATAGTTATTGACCAGGAGTTAATCAGCGTTGTTGCTTGGCATTTAAATACTTTCCATTGCTTGCCCTTCTGCCTGTCCTAAAATGAGACACATTTATAATTGCTTTACTGGTCTGGATCCAAATATAATGCAGATGAATTGGTACAAAACAGTCACTAAATGAGCTGGTCCCAGCAGACTTTTGGTAGGTCCCAGACTTCAGCAGCAGAACGTATCCTTATGTGAAGACAAAAAACGGAAGGCCCTGGGTGGGGTCCAGCCCTAGGGGCACTGACCTTCCACCAAAGCCCCACGTGGTCTGGCAGCTGCTCCTGGGGCTCCGCTCTTTAGTAAATAGATAACTGATAACATCTCCTTACATTTTACAGGTAAATGATGCGATAGGATGGGAATGGCCATGGGTGTATTTTGTTAGTCTGATTATCCTTGGCTCATTTTTCGTCCTTAACCTGGTTCTTGGTGTCCTTAGTGGGTAAGCAGTTGGATTCATGTTGCCCATTCTGCTGCCTCGTGTTCCGGGGGCGGCTGTGTGTGTCCCCCCGTCGCCCCTGAGGCTCCCCTGCATGCGTGTGAACTCTGATGTTTCCTCCGTGTGTGGCTTTTGGATTGAACTGTGATTCTTTCTGCCTGTATCTATCTGTGAGATTCTGTGTTTCTGATGCTTGCCAAACACTATTAATTTAATGAGAACGTTTCCCTGAAGCCAGTTGCATTAATTTGCTGAAGTGCCGAAGTGGATTACCAGGGAGGAAAAGGAGTCCCGACCTTGGTCTCACCCAGGAAAGGGCGTCTTTTGTGGTTTTATTCCCATTGGTGCATAACCTGCCCCTTTGAGATAATCATGCATATTTCCAGGGTGTTTTAGATTTCATTGTGAAGGAGAAATAAGCCTAGGCTAGCACATAAATACTAAACAAATTTTAAAATCTTAATGCCCTGCTCTCGGGATTGTTGATTAGCTTGGTTTTCTGCTGCTGTCACTGTGAGAATTTTCCCTCTAATTCATTTTTAATCTTAACTGGTAGAATCTTTCATATCGAGTAATGATCAGCTTTTGCACATGCATGTTTTTTTTGTTTTGTTTTGTTTTAGTAATACTCACCTGCCCTTATTTTCCCATTGCTTTTGTTTTAGAGAGGAAGAGAGGGAGAGAGAGAGAGAGAGAAATATCCACTGGTTGTCTCCTGTCCCTGCCCTGACTTGGGGGGTGGGGGTGGGGGGGTGGATAGGGATTGAATCTGCAACCCAGGTATGTGCCCTTGACTGGGAATCGAACCCACAACCCTTTGGTTCGTGGAGTGATGCTCTAACCAGTGAGCAAACTGGCCAGGGCTGCACATACATGTTTTTTGGTCTTATCATGGTCCTTGTCCTTCCGTCACTGTTTTTGGAATTTCATGTTTTTTACCTTCTATAGAGAGGGCTCAGGGGAGATGGGCTCAGGACGGGGACTTGGGTATCTCTGGACTCCGCCTTACCTTGGGGCAGCTGTGCCACCTCACTGTCCTGCAGGTACCCCAGAAAGGGGAGCAAGTACCCCAAGGAAGGGACCCGAGACTGTCGAGGCTCTCTCAGAAGCGGCCAGCGGGGGGAATGTAACTGTTGGGGGGCCTGGGGGCGGTGCTGGGGTGCTGCTGGAGGCCCAGGAGGTCCCCCCTCCCGGGGAGCCTGTGGTACTCACTGAGTGCAGACATCATCAGGAAACGCTGCTGATGGATTTGCTTCCCAGTGAGTTTATCTTCCTCTTGTCACTCACTTTATCTTCCTCTTTCGGAGCTTGTGGGGCTTGTGTCTCGGGCAAGTGATGGCTTCATGTAACGCCGAGTCAGTGGAGAGACCTCTGTCGCCTTTTTCTCAGAGCAGAAAGCCGAGCCAGCTGTCCATCTCTGCTCCCCTCCTCGCCTCCCTCCCGCCTCCCTGCCTGTTTGCAGGGGGAAAGGATTTGGAATTCTCCTTGACCCGGGGGGTCAGTTTCACACATGAAGGCCTACCTAGGGCCCAGCAGCCCCAACAGTGTGCCTCCCAATGAGAGGGGTGGGGGCTGGGACTGAGTTGGGGGGTGGAAGCATGCCCTGCCCCCCCCCCCACCCATAGCAAAGCTTCCTTCTTCAGAGAAGTGGCTCCTCAAGCCTCATGCTCTTTCACAAACACCTTTAAAGTGCCCTCCTCCTAGTGAACCTCCATGGCTCCGGCTGGTGGTGGGGTTTGAGGGTGGAAATTATCCCTGGAGAAACTGCATCGTGCTTAACTCTGCCACAGGAGCAGCCTGGCCAAGGTCAACAGCAATTCTGTTGTGACTTCCTTGGCGCCTCGTGTCTCCTAAACCCAACTAAACTGACTGAGGCCATGGAAACCGCTAATTTCAACAGAGCCGGTGACGTGCCTTATCTCCGAGCTCCGCAGAGCAGGCACCGGCGCCCTGGCACGAGGAAGCTGCTTAAAAAAGAAAAAAGGAAAAGCTGGGAGGAGGGGCTCCTCATTAGAAAGGTGGGCATTAAATATGCACCCCCAATGGCGGGGGTGCCCAGATCTGGGGGATAAAAAGGGCACACACCCTCATGGAACAACCAGTTTACTGAACTGTATTTCGGGGAAAATAATTTAATTGAAAGTAACTTAAAAAACATTTTTGTATCGAAACCAAACTAGATCCCTCTCTGAAGGAGAATGCAAACGATGTATACATTTAAAAATAAAACCTAAGACTCCCTAGTGACCCCTTGTGGGTGCAGGTACCCGTGGGCTGCCTACGGACTCTCCTCCACCGGAGGCCACTTCGGTAGGAGATGCTGGGGGTTATTTGTGTAAAGTGAGAACCACGTCTGCAGAGCAGAACCTTTCAGCCTGTTGACTAATTTGGCCAGCGATTCCCGAGTTCTGCTGAGTGCCCGGCTCTGGGCCAAGGGCCAGGGGTGCCAAGATGTCTAAGCCACAGACAGAGGCCTAGTGTTCAGACCTTCATTGTCTGGCGGGAGAGACTATTGTTAAGCAGTGCAGGCGGGCAACGCTAGAGGAGAGGTGTGGACCAAGGGCTGTCAGCTGGATCTTGGAAGATGATAAGGCATCTGTTGGGGAAACGTACGAGGAGCTGGCAGGCTCCCACCTGCCCTAACAGTGACCTGCGCTTCTCTGCCCAGCCACCTCCCCTTGGCTTCCCCCCAAGGCAACCGGAAATCAAAATGGGTCCCTCGTGTTCGTCTTCTTGTTAAAGCAAATTCAAAATACTTTCATTTTAGTCTTAGGGTTCTTCACAATTTTTACAGAGATGACCAAACCAGAAGGATGTAAATGCTAAAAGAAAGACAACTTATGTTGCAAAGCCTTTTAGGGCCATGAGACCAATACAAACAGAATCCCAAAAGCACCGAAATAAAAGACTCCTATTGTAGACGTTTAAGACCCTGCTGTAGCTTTCTGATGCAGAATCATGAAATGATGATGTGTGTCTTTAAGTCTGTTGACCACGGGGAAATATTTGTTTCTGCTCCTTGGCTCCGTCTCAAATTTTGTGTGGCCAGGCCACCCTATTTATTCTTGAACTGATTTTAATCTGCCACCTGATTCGTTGCTGGTACATTTTGAGAGCATTCTGAGGTTGGTGCTTTGGAAACCCCTTTGGTTTTACAGCAGACCCTTTGCCTCAAGGTGAGTACGAAGTTTACAAACTGCACCCCTCATAGCCACGCATGAGCAAAGGAAGACCTTGGTCTCTGAGGACAGGGTGCTGCGGGAGGAGCTGAGCTGTCTAACTCGTGTGGCAGCTTCACATTAAGTTGTCATTGAGAAGATGGGCCTGTTATGACCAGTGACTAGAAAGCATGTCTCAGTGAAATCTACAATTCAGGCAGGCCACGTCGCCCGTCATGCTGGCTTTTTAGAAGCTTCGTGATTTTTCAATTCTAAAATTGTTCATTTAACTCCTTGTCTCTTTTGAGGTGTTTGTCGGTGAATAGACAAAAGAAGAGAACACGTTGGTGCTTTGGTGCTTTGTTTCTTTAGCATCATTGCCACATTCCCAGGGGAAAGGGTGCCGGGGCAGTGGGCTCCGTTCTGCACCTGAAGGACCCGCCTGGTGCTGGGCACACCTGCCATGAGCTAGCATGGTCCCCAGAGCTGGGGTCCAGGCCCCGAGGAGGGGGCTGGTAGATGAAAAGGGAACTAGGAGACCTGGGTTTTGGTCCAGCCAATGTCACACAGTAATTCTGGGACTTCACTTAGTAGCCCTGAGCATTTGTCTCCTCATGCCCTCACACAGGGATGACCCACCACCCACCTTCCCACAGGGTGCTGGCTTTAAATCAGCTCATGAATGTAGAAGTGCTTCAAAAATATACAAAGGGTTTTACTCATCTAATGTATCTGTATATTAAGTCTATGCCCCCTTCCCTGTGGTCCTTTGGAAATTATCTAAAGGGTACCATTCTCTGGATTTCCCAGGAAGTGACCAGAGAAACGTGCTTGGTACACATGTTACTACTGTATTCTGTGCCCTCTACAAGGAGGCTGTGGAGGTTCTTTGTCAAGCTCTGAATCATTGCGATTGAAGTTATGTCTGACAGTGATTTTTTTTTTTTTTTGGCCACAAATAGGGGTAGGTAATGGCATTTCTGTAACATAGTGGTTAAACTCACCGGTTTTAGAGTTGGATCACCAAGACTTGCATCTTTGCTCTACCTTTTACCACATGAGATTTGGGGCAAATTACTTAACTTCTTTGAATCTCACTTTCCCTATCTATGAAATGGAGCTAATAATACCAACCGTGTAGAGGATTCATTGAGCAAGAGTGTACAGTGCTTGGTCATTGTTGTGATGGCTCAAGTAAGAGTATATAAGGCATATTGTTAGTTAAGGGGATGCAAGGAAAATCTAATTAACTCAGTCCTTTGAAACCAATTAATAATTATAGGCCAAGGTAGGCCTGAATTAATGAAAAGTCAAAGTTATACTTTAAAATGTTTTATTATATGCACATGTCTGTATATACATAATGACATAGCCAGTGACTCCTACAGAATATTACTACATAAACCACCTCCTGGGCCTGCTTTAAAGAAAGATGAAAATCATTTGTAATTCACCCATGAATTCAAAGCTGTGGTTTTTGTCAACCTCTTATGAAAAAATATTTGAACCGCTTCTTTTGGTAAGCAGTCCTTGTATATTGTTGGAAGATAAATGCTCTTTGTAAACCAGATTTTATGACATTAGATTGAATGTAAATTGAACCCATGTCTATAAATTCAACATCATTCAGCTCTAAGTTAATTTGTGTCTTTGTGTCCCAATTAGTTGCAAATCTACCAGGTCACAGGTTCTCTTTTGAAATCACTAATCTCATTTTATATGACTAGAGGCCTGTTTATCTTAACTTTAGAAGTTTTGTGGGGACGTGGATGAAGTGAAGCATCTTAAGAGCCATTTTCAAACCAGGTGATTATTCTGAATTTCACTATCCCATCCTTCCGATTG